GGAGCACACTGCAACCTGCACCCGGTGTACACATTGGCCAACAGTTGGGGGTGGAATTGGAGAGGGGAGTCTCTGGTGCTCTGATTTTAACCTGCTCTCGGCCGGCCATTGTAGTTAACTGGCCCGCCGGGAGATTCTTAGATGTAAGTGGCCGGTCCAAGTGTCCTTTAAACTTAAATGTTTTGAACCATCTAATATCCTGTAAGTGTGAACCTTCTTGCGTTCAATAAATTTGTTTAACAACTACACTTAGGATTCTTTTTCTCCTTTTCTTCCCTCTATATTATACTGTCTGATCCCGCTATCTATTTCACCTGGTGGGCTGGCTCAGCCGCCACTACAGCGGCGAATGACTGGGTAATTGTGGAAGAGAAGCAACCATCAACTTACTGCAGCAGCTCCGTGCCGGAGCATAGAAACATTCAGACTGCAGCCTCACTACTGTTACTATTTTTGCTTTCCTGAATCCAACTAACATTTCCAATAACAGAGAAGTAGACTATAGATGAGACTCTGTTTGTAATCCATATACATTTTTTCTTTTTATGCCTCCCGTTTAGAACGGTTATGGTTTGAGTGGCTCCGCTCCACTGACATCGATTTGTTGTTTCCCATTATCGTTTATCGTTTTATCGTTTATCGTTTTTTGTCGAAAAACATATTTTTTCCTTTTGAGTTAAGGATTTATTCATCTTTCACCTTGAGTGGCTCCGCTCCACTACCGCAGATTGCTTGTATATGATTACATCTTTCAAATATGATGGACAACTTGTAGTTCCGCTCTAGATCACCATCTCACTGTTTTATTGTCTGGCACAATAATTCATAGGTAGATTTCACTTAGACGGCAGTCCACAATCCATTTTTTTGCACCAATTTCACTGTGCGCCTTTGGGTTCACAGTTTATACTAGACGGCTATTTAGCACTTTTTGATACTTTTCCAGTCACTTCAGCTTAAAAGCCATCACTCAGTTTTTTCACATACTTTATTTATTAGCATTTGTGATCACACATCCACATTTAGTATATACACATTAGTTTTTTTATATAGATTGTGTTCATTTAATTGTATTATCACCTTTCACCACATCGACTTATATAAACTATTGTTTTGATGATATATCACGGACAAACCAAATAGATTTTGAACCGAGCGCAACATACAAGCCTTCCATTTTACATCTATACATACATTGTTGCGGCTGGTGCCGACATACCTACTTCCAGCGCAAACTATTTTGTTTAATATATTGGCCGGTCCAATGCAATCTGCAAAAATAGTCCATGCCGCTTTTTTGCAGATCGCACTGGAACGGAATGCAGGCACTACTGTGCCACGTGTTCTGGTGCGGGCGATCACACTGGGGGCAGGGGGTGTGGCTGCAATGCCATTGACTTCAATGCTTCACCATGGCCCCTCCTGCCCCTAAACGCAGGGAGCAGGCCAGTTTGCGTTCCAGTGCGTTCCACAGGCCGAATGCTCTGGAACACACTCTTTGTGGCGTGAATTGGCCCTGAGAAGGCATCCCCTTGGTTCCTAGCATTGGTGGAGTGGGCACCAGTCCTATCGGTCTGCGTCGGCCTGAATCTTGTCTATTTTCCTGGATACTAAACACAGTTTTTTTGTTAGGGCTGTGCAAATTAACGATTCATTTCTCGATTAATTGTTCATCTTTTTGGTCGATTACAATTTTTAAAAATCTTTCTGCATGAGCGCCAGCCAAGGCAATGGCCTATACACATACAGCACAGCAATGAAGTAATAAAATGAACTAGGATCACACTAATCCAGCACGTTGTTATTCTGAGTTGCCCCACTCAAGCGGCGGCCATATTGAGTGGGGCACGTGAGATTAATAACGTGCTGGATTAGTGTGATCCTAGTTCATTTTATTACTTCATTGCTGTGCTGTATTTGTATAGGCTAATGTAGTTGGATCTGTATGTGCGTTATAATTTTATCAATTAAAAAATGTTTCGATTAATCGAACACAAAAATTTTAATCAGTAACAGCCCTAGTTTTTTTTATTCTAATGTTTGTAGATGTACAATATGTTTCCGGGCCTGGTCGGCCTGTTTCCTGGGAGTCATAAAACAATTCTTAGCAACATTGCAGAAATAAATGAGTTTATTACAAAGACGTTTGTCAACCATCTGAAGGAGCTGGATGTGGATGATCAGAGGAGCTACATTGATGCCTTCCTTGTGAAACAAAAAGAGGTGAGGGGGTCTTTCCTCAGTACTGCCAATGAAAATCAGGGAGGATCAGAACCCCGGTTGGGTTTCATTATCTGGGCTCTGTTAGGGAGATTTAATTTAAATTCCTGCCCTGCTGAGAATGGTTTTACCAGGCAGGAAGTGAGGGAAAATCTTCAACAGCAACACTAATACAAATATTGTGTATTCTTTAGTAGAGTAGGGGAAGGCTAGAAATACATTTTTTTATTACTGTTTATATAATTTTTTTTTTTTTACAAATGAAAATTAATACAAGGTGCACTTGTAACACTTTTTTCCCCAGGCAATCCTAGAATGGGAGTGTAGTGTTTTGGTTGGGCTTGATTCAATGACCATAGATTGAGAGTCCCAGCAAGACTCTGACTCATTAACTGTGTGTGTGTGTGTGTGTGTGTGTGTGTGTGTGTGTGTGTGTGTGTGTGTAAATTTCAGCTTGAGCTATTGAGGTGGATCGACTAAAGAAGTATGGGCACTTAGCAAAGGGAATTTTAACTTAGTTTAGTGAAGTTGTGCTGACTTCAATTGTCCAATCCTGTGCAAACAATAATCCTGTTTTCTTTTCCTTGTATGCAATTGGGTATTCTATGTTAATTTTCACCAAATTCATTAAGCTAAGTAGAAATTCCCTTCAAAACTCACTTTGTAAAGAAAAACCACTTTCTGCTCCTTTAGTAAATCAACCCCGATAGTCATCATGTTCTATACACAATGTATAGGACATGAGGACGCCAAGGGACATACCATCACTGCCAGTGACGTGCGGTACCTCTGGCTCCAGTTGAGGAATTCCCCAACCTCGCCCCCAGCATGTCCCGCCCCCTGCCGGACAAAGCCCCCCCCAACCCATCCCCAATCTAGTGTAAAGGAGGAAGGGAGGAGACGGGGAGGAGCCTCCCTGTCCCTCACTTGCTCCTCACTGCTGAGGTGCTCCGTCCATCCTGTTAGATGCCGATCTGAATGGAGAAAAAGCTGTCAGCTTTAGACATGAAGCTGACAGCTTTTTCCTCCATAATTCTAGCTGAGGCTTTGCTTCACCTGCCTCCCCTGACCGCACATTCCTGATCACTGCAGTGGGGGAGGGAGTGCTGTCACAGCCAGCCAGCTTGGATGTTCGGTCGAGTATAACTTTTATTTTTTATCATGTGCAAAAACGAGGACTTAACCCTCACAGTGCGGGGTTAATAAATGTTTACCCGGAGTCGTTCTTTAAGCGGCAGCCATTTTTTTTAAACAGGAGGTAAAGAGAAACCGTAAAATGTGAAGAGAACCCAAGAGCTTCACATGCTGGCTGAAAATAGGAACACAAATCTCCCAGTACCACAGCTGCTAATTTATTTATATGTATCTTTTTGATGAGAATTATTCTGAATAAAAACCTTTTGAAGTGTTATGCTTTATGCAGCTGTAATTTATGTGCACTGAATATTCCAGGAGGAAAATAATGCTGGCAGGCACTTTCACAATAGAAACCTCTTAAGTAGTGTGAGAAATTTGTTTTCCGCTGGAATGGAAACTACAGCGACCACCATCCGCTGGGGTCTTCTTCTCATGACAAAATTTCCAGAAATTCAAGGTATGAATCTGGGCACAGATAATAGTTGTGTATACCGACACCTCTATCATGTAGACAATGACAAGTTGCAGGGTACTACTAAGATTATAATACACTGCCTGGCCAAAAACAGTCACCACCTGGATTTAGCTGAGCAAATACTTTAGAGCCTTCCGTTGGATTATAGTTACATATTTAGTCAGGTTGAAAAAAGACACAAGTCCATCTAGTTTAACCTATAAAGATAATTGGAGGAAAAAAAAAAGAAAGAAAAGCCTAAACAGAACACTATACCCACAATTACCCAATGTTGATCCAGAGGAAGGCAAAAAAACCCTATACAGCATGGTTCAATTTGCTCCAACAGGGGAAAAAAATTATTTCCTGATCCCATAAGGCAATCAGATCAACAATCTCTGATGCTTAATATACCTATAAGAACTCAATATTCTGTGCATTTGGGAATACATCCATACTGAGCTAGCTATAAGTAAGTCCTGGGGGAGTCTGTTCCACAATTTCACAGCTCTTAACTGTGAAGAATCCTTTCTGTATGCAAAGGTTAAACCTCTTTTCCTCCAGACACAGAGTGCCCCCTTGTCCTTTGCAGTGACCTTAACGTGAATAATTTAACACCAAGCTCACTATATGGACCATTTATGTATTTATACATGGTGATCATGTCCCCCCTTCATCGCCTCTTCTCCAGAGAGAACAAATTCAGGTCAGCTAATCTTTCCTCATAGCTGAGCTCCTCCATGCCTCTTATGAGTTTAGTCGCCCTTCGCTGCACTTTCTCCAGTTCCACAACATCCTTTTTGTGAACTGCTGCCCAAAACTGAACTGCATATTCCAGATGAGGTCTTACTAATGCTTTGTACAGGGGCAGGATTATGTCTCTATCTCTGGAGTTTAGAGACCCCGTATAATTCAAGGAAGTATTTTGCTTGCTTTAGAAACTGCGGCCTGACATTGCACGCTGTTATTCAGTCTATGATCTACCAGAACACCCAGATCTTTCTCCATCATTGACTCCCCCAAACATACTCCCCCTAGAGTGTAGAACATCCTTTTTGTGTACTGGTGCCTAAAACTAAACTGCATTTTCCAGATGAGGTCTTACTAACGCCATAGTCCCCATTGTCCCCAGCAATGTTGTAATCTGCCTCATCTGTACAGGGGCAGATTGTGCGTCTCTCTCTGGAGTCTAGGTTCCCCAATGTTATGTCCCCAAAAATTGAGGTCAGCTGTCTACCTGAATATACTGAATGACCAGGTTTTTCCTTAAAATTGTTTTTTTTTCTTTCCTGATGGCACATTGGGCATATTCCAAGATGACAATGCCAGGATTCATCGGGCTCAGATTGTGAAAGAGTGGTTCAGGGAGCATGAGACATCATTGTCACACATGGATTGGTCACTACAGAGTCGAGACCCCAGGGAGCTGAGTGGGATGACCTCACTCGGGTCATCCTCACTCCCACTCCCCCCCACATCGGATAACCACTATCGGCAAACCCCCCTGTCTCCCCAGAAGCAATATCACAGCAAGCCCCCCCCCCCCCGCCTCTATGGCCTCAGATGGCATATAGGGTGAGCATGACCCTTAATAGACCCTTAAGACGCAGGGGGACCTTGCTGCACAAATGGTGTATATACGTCCCTGCCTATATTCTAGAGCCTCATGATTCTGCTCAAACTATTACACCGGTAGCTATAACTTTTCTTGGGCTTGGTTGAGTTGCTCTCTCTGAAATGCTTGGTTGAGTTGCTCTCTCTGAAATGCTTGGTTGAGTTGCTCTCTCTGAAATGCTTGGTTGAGTTGCTCTTCTTTTTTTCCTTTTATAGAAAAAGTACAAAGTGAAATTGCAAAAGTGATCGGCACCATGCAACCTCAATACAACCATCGCCACCAAATGCCTTACGCCAACGCTGTTCTTCACGAGATCCAGAGATTTGCAAATATAGTGCCGATGAACCTGCCCCATCAGACAACTAAGGACGTCCAATTTATGGGCTACTTTATTCCAAAAGTAAGTGTTTATTCTCTCTCGACAGTTCTAGAACACAGACTTTGAAGTAAATCTAAACCCAAGGACTAAAATATAATACATTGCTTATCAGACCTTAGATGTGGTTGCTGCATTCATTTTCCTTCAACTTTTTTTCACCTGGTGTTCCTGCCGTTAACATGTCATGTTCCAGGGCAGGGTTAGCTAAACTCCGGCCCTCCAGCTGTGGTGAAACAACAAATCCGATGATGCATCTTTCTCCGAGATACATGTATGTGGCTGTGAGAATCTTGCAATGCCTCATGGGATTTGTAGTTCCACCACAGCTGGAGGGTCGGGGTTTGGCTACTCCTGTTCTACGGTGACAACATTCACTCAGTGTATTGTATCTATGGATGAGCAGCATTGTTACCCCCTAGGAGAGGACTACAGAACATCTCCTCCCTACCATCTTCTACAGAAAATGAGGAAGGGTGTTTTTGTAATCCCGAGAGAAAGTTGGAAACATTGTTTTCTGATAAAAATACAGCAGTCATGCAAAACATTTCCAGCTTGAGGCTCCATTCACATGTAGCGTTTGCGTTTCCCTCATGGTTTTCCATGTGGAAGACCGTACGGCAACACGAACACTAAAATCTTTCACCTGCACGGATTAGGCTTGTTTGCGGCTATTTGATAACACCGTAATTGTGCAGAATCCGTCAAAAAACGCGCTTGTACTATTTTTCGTACCGCGCGGCCACCACCAAATTATGAACAATGCACATTAAAGTGCATTGATTTTTCCGTTTAGAGCTGCTGCGTGTGTATTTGGCTGGCAGAGTATGTGCGGAGAACCACTCCTGTGTGAATGGAGCCTAATGGCAGAATGGGCCGACATTTTTTGCACTTCTGGAACAGGTATAACAAAACATTCTCAAGAATATATTTACCAGACCAAAAGGGAGCAAATAAGAGAAGATTATTGATAGGGTTTACATACTATTTAATGGTGGTCACATGGTAAATTGACTAAATTATTATTTTATTTTATGTGTATTTGATAGGGTACCTACATTATCCCTCTTCTTGCATCTGTCCTCTATGACAAGACTCAGTTTGCAGAGCCTTATGTATTTAATCCTCAACATTTCCTGGACTCGGAGGGGAAGTTTCAGAAGAAAGATGCCTTCATGCCGTTTTCAGCAGGTGAAGTAAATGGTTCATTATCATGTTCTTATTGTTTTTTTCACCACAAAGCTGCAAACATACAAATTATCTACAAAATCGACTGTTAGCTCGTGTGAAAACTTTGTCATCAGGTCATTGAATGATGTCTTTCTTTAAAGCCGTATAAACAAGTATTTCTGGTTGGGTCAGAAAATCAGATGTACCATTGCAGTTCCTCCAACTCATACATGCTTAAAAATTTTAAATGACAAAACTCAGAAATTAAATCTTAAGAATGCATTCAAGTACCTTAACTATGAACAGAAATGTATCTTATTTGTGTATGACTCGGCTGTAGATCCTCCAATCATCTCTGAATTGGTGCTGACACTGTCCTTCCTTCTGGAGGATGAATACTTTTCTTCTCCATGTTCCCTGTGTGTGTTGTAAAGTAGTCACCGCTCCAAGCTCACTCCCGGGATGGACTAAATCTTACTATAAATTGCTAAACTATACATGAGATTGTAGTCCATCACAGAAGTGAGCTTGGAGTCAGGATACACTGTCCTTCCTTCTGGAGGATGAATACTTTTCTTCTCCATGTTCCCTGTGTGTGTTGTAAAGTAGTCACCGCTCCAAGCTCACTCCCGGGATGGACTAAATCTTACTATAAATTGCTAAACTATACATGAGATTGTAGTCCATCACAGAAGTGAGCTTGGAGTCAGGACCGGATTTACTCTCTCTGCTGCCCCAATGCTAGGTTCCTCTGTGCACCCCCCACCTTGTCAACCCCCCAATGCAGGGTTAGTTTAAATTTTTTAAATAATTTGTATTTATTTTTTTACTTTTTAAAATTTGTATTTATCTTATCTTTTACATTTTTGTATTTTTTGTATTTTTTTATCTTATTTTTTGATCATTTTTGATTTTATTTTTCAATTTTCTTTCCTTTTTAACTTCCAGTTGAGGAATTCCCCAACCTCGCCCCCAGCATGTCCCGCCCCCTGCCGGACAAAGCCCCCCCCAACCCATCCCCAATCTAGTGTAAAGGAGGAAGGGAGGAGACGGGGAGGAGCCTCCCTGTCCCTCACTTGCTCCTCACTGCTGAGGTGCTCCGTCCATCCTGTTAGATGCCGATCTGAATGGAGAAAAAGCTGTCAGCTTTAGACATGAAGCTGACAGCTTTTTCCTCCATAATTCTAGCTGAGGCTTTGCTTCACCTGCCTCCCCTGACCGCACATTCCTGATCACTGCAGTGGGGGAGGGAGTGCTGTCACAGCCAGCCAGCTTGGATGTTCGGTCGAGTATAACTTTTATTTTTTATCATGTGCAAAAACGAGGACTTAACCCTCACAGTGCGGGGTTAATAAATGTTTACCCGGAGTCGTTCTTTAAGCGGCAGCCATTTTTTTTAAACAGGAGGTAAAGAGAAACCGTAAAATGTGAAGAGAACCCAAGAGCTTCACATGCTGGCTGAAAATAGGAACACAAATCTCCCAGTACCACAGCTGCTAATTTATTTATATGTATCTTTTTGATGAGAATTATTCTGAATAAAAACCTTTTGAAGTGTTATGCTTTATGCAGCTGTAATTTATGTGCACTGAATATTCCAGGAGGAAAATAATGCTGGCACGCACTTTCACAATAGAAACCTCTTAAGTAGTGTGAGAAATTTGTTTTCCGCTGGAATGGAAACTACAGCGACCACCATCCGCTGGGGTCTTCTTCTCATGACAAAATTTCCAGAAATTCAAGGTATGAATCTGGGCACAGATAATAGTTGTGTATACCGACACCTCTATCATGTAGACAATGACAAGTTGCAGGGTACTACTAAGATTATAATACACTGCCTGGCCAAAAACAGTCACCACCTGGATTTAGCTGAGCAAATACTTTAGAGCCTTCCGTTGGATTATAGTTACATATTTAGTCAGGTTGAAAAAAGACACAAGTCCATCTAGTTTAACCTATAAAGATAATTGGAGGAAAAAAAAAAGAAAGAAAAGCCTAAACAGAACACTATACCCACAATTACCCAATGTTGATCCAGAGGAAGGCAAAAAACCCCTATAAAGCACGATTCAATTTGCTCCAACAGGGGAAAAAAATTATTTCCTGATCCCATAAGGCAATCAGATCAACAATCTCTGATGCTTAATATACCTATAAGAACTCAATATTCTGTGCATTTGGGAATACATCCATACTGAGCTAGCTATAAGTAAGTCCTGGGGGAGTCTGTTCCACAATTTCACAGCTCTTAACTGTGAAGAATCCTTTCTGTATGCAAAGGTTAAACCTCTTTTCCTCCAGACACAGAGTGCCCCCTTGTCCTTTGCAGTGACCTTAACGTGAATAATTTAACACCAAGCTCACTATATGGACCATTTATGTATTTATACATGGTGATCATGTCCCCCCTTCATCGCCTCTTCTCCAGAGAGAACAAATTCAGGTCAGCTAATCTTTCCTCATAGCTGAGCTCCTCCATGCCTCTTATGAGTTTAGTCGCCCTTCGCTGCACTTTCTCCAGTTCCACAACATCCTTTTTGTGAACTGCTGCCCAAAACTGAACTGCATATTCCAGATGAGGTCTTACTAATGCTTTGTACAGGGGCAGGATTATGTCTCTATCTCTGGAGTTTAGAGACCCCGTATAATTCAAGGAAGTATTTTGCTTGCTTTAGAAACTGCGGCCTGACATTGCACGCTGTTATTCAGTCTATGATCTACCAGAACACCCAGATCTTTCTCCATCATTGACTCCCCCAAACATACTCCCCCTAGAGTGTAGAACATCCTTTTTGTGTACTGGTGCCTAAAACTAAACTGCATTTTCCAGATGAGGTCTTACTAACGCCATAGTCCCCATTGTCCCCAGCAATGTTGTAATCTGCCTCATCTGTACAGGGGCAGATTGTGCGTCTCTCTCTGGAGTCTAGGTTCCCCAATGTTATGTCCCCAAAAATTGAGGTCAGCTGTCTACCTGAATATACTGAATGACCAGGTTTTTCCTTAAAATTGTTTTTTTTTCTTTCCTGATGGCACATTGGGCATATTCCAAGATGACAATGCCAGGATTCATCGGGCTCAGATTGTGAAAGAGTGGTTCAGGGAGCATGAGACATCATTGTCACACATGGATTGGTCACTACAGAGTCGAGACCCCAGGGAGCTGAGTGGGATGACCTCACTCGGGTCATCCTCACTCCCACTCCCCCCCACATCGGATAACCACTATCGGCAAACCCCCCTGTCTCCCCAGAAGCAATATCACAGCAAGCCCCCGCCCCCCCGCCTCTATGGCCTCAGATGGCATATAGGGTGAGCATGACCCTTAATAGACCCTTAAGACGCAGGGGGACCTTGCTGCACAAATGGTGTATATACGTCCCTGCCTATATTCTAGAGCCTCATGATTCTGCTCAAACTATTACACCGGTAGCTATAACTTTTCTTGGGCTTGGTTGAGTTGCTCTCTCTGAAATGCTTGGTTGAGTTGCTCTCTCTGAAATGCTTGGTTGAGTTGCTCTCTCTGAAATGCTTGGTTGAGTTGCTCTTCTTTTTTTCCTTTTATAGAAAAAGTACAAAGTGAAATTGCAAAAGTGATCGGCACCATGCAACCTCAATACAACCATCGCCACCAAATGCCTTACGCCAACGCTGTTCTTCACGAGATCCAGAGATTTGCAAATATAGTGCCGATGAACCTGCCCCATCAGACAACTAAGGACGTCCAATTTATGGGCTACTTTATTCCAAAAGTAAGTGTTTATTCTCTCTCGACAGTTCTAGAACACAGACTTTGAAGTAAATCTAAACCCAAGGACTAAAATATAATACATTGCTTATCAGACCTTAGATGTGGTTGCTGCATTCATTTTCCTTCAACTTTTTTTCACCTGGTGTTCCTGCCGTTAACATGTCATGTTCCAGGGCAGGGTTAGCTAAACTCCGGCCCTCCAGCTGTGGTGAAACAACAAATCCGATGATGCATCTTTCTCCGAGATACATGTATGTGGCTGTGAGAATCTTGCAATGCCTCATGGGATTTGTAGTTCCACCACAGCTGGAGGGTCGGGGTTTGGCTACTCCTGTTCTACGGTGACAACATTCACTCAGTGTATTGTATCTATGGATGAGCAGCATTGTTACCCCCTAGGAGAGGACTACAGAACATCTCCTCCCTACCATCTTCTACAGAAAATGAGGAAGGGTGTTTTTGTAATCCCGAGAGAAAGTTGGAAACATTGTTTTCTGATAAAAATACAGCAGTCATGCAAAACATTTCCAGCTTGAGGCTCCATTCACATGTAGCGTTTGCGTTTCCCTCATGGTTTTCCATGTGGAAGACCGTACGGCAACACGAACACTAAAATCTTTCACCTGCACGGATTAGGCTTGTTTGCGGCTATTTGATAACACCGTAATTGTGCAGAATCCGTCAAAAAACGCGCTTGTACTATTTTTCGTACCGCGCGGCCACCACCAAATTATGAACAATGCACATTAAAGTGCATTGATTTTTCCGTTTAGAGCTGCTGCGTGTGTATTTGGCTGGCAGAGTATGTGCGGAGAACCACTCCTGTGTGAATGGAGCCTAATGGCAGAATGGGCCGACATTTTTTGCACTTCTGGAACAGGTATAACAAAACATTCTCAAGAATATATTTACCAGACCAAAAGGGAGCAAATAAGAGAAGATTATTGATAGGGTTTACATACTATTTAATGGTGGTCACATGGTAAATTGACTAAATTATTATTTTATTTTATGTGTATTTGATAGGGTACCTACATTATCCCTCTTCTTGCATCTGTCCTCTATGACAAGACTCAGTTTGCAGAGCCTTATGTATTTAATCCTCAACATTTCCTGGACTCGGAGGGGAAGTTTCAGAAGAAAGATGCCTTCATGCCGTTTTCAGCAGGTGAAGTAAATGGTTCATTATCATGTTCTTATTGTTTTTTTCACCACAAAGCTGCAAACATACAAATTATCTACAAAATCGACTGTTAGCTCGTGTGAAAACTTTGTTATCAGGTTATTTTTCACCACAAAGCTGCAAACATACAAATTATCTACAAAATCGACTGTTAGCTCGTGTGAAAACTTTGTCATCAGGTCATTGAATGATGTCTTTCTTTAAAGCCGTATAAACAAGTATTTCTGGTTGGGTCAGAAAATCAGATGTACCATTGCAGTTCCTCCAACTCATACATGCTTAAAAATTTTAAATGACAAAACTCAGAAATTAAATCTTAAGAATGCATTCAAGTACCTTAACTATGAACAGAAATGTATCTTATTTGTGTATGACTCGGCTGTAGATCCTCCAATCATCTCTGAATTGGTGCTGACACTGTCCTTCCTTCTGGAGGATGAATACTTTTCTTCTCCATGTTCCCTGTGTGTGTTGTTAGGGTTAGTTTAAATTTTTTAAATAATTTGTATTTATTTTTTTACTTTTTAAAATTTGTATTTATCTTATCTTTTACATTTTTGTATTTTTTGTATTTTTTTATCTTATTTTTTGATCATTTTTGATTTTATTTTTCAATTTTCTTTCCTTTTTAACTTTTATTGCTATCACACAGGAGCTAACAAGCCCCTATTTTTTTACTTTTTAAAATTTGTATTTATCTTATCTTTTACATTTTTGTATTTTTTGTATTTTTTTATCTTATTTTTTGATCATTTTTGATTTTATTTTTCAATTTTCTTTCCTTTTTAACTTTTATTGCTATCACACAGGAGCTAACAAGCCCCTGTGTAATAGCATTTGGAGGTGACAGGTGCTCTTTATTGAAACTGTCACCTCCAATACAGGAGTTCTAGCACAGCACTATGCTGGAACTCCTGTGCAGCTCCCCTGTCTCAGTGTTTACACGGAGCAGAGCGGAGAACTGACATCTCTGCTCCCCTCTCCAGATCTGGATCTCTGGCCGGCGGGTAGAGAGGCAGCCGACTGGGGGTCTGCGGGGGAGGACGGACAATCGGGCTGCATAGAAGTGATCTTGGCGACATCGCCGAGATCACTTGTACACCAACGAGCGGCTTTCCTGCTGTACATTTAGCTCTGTTTGCCCAAAGGAGGGATAAATGTAGAAAACAACCACCCGCCCTGTGCCCGAAACTTCATGTCCCGGTATAGAGCGATAGGAATCCCTGCCACCCCTCAGCTCCCTGCTGCCCCCGAGGCTGGGCCTCGGTTGGCCTTGTGGGAAATCCGGCCCTGCTTAGACCGGTGACTACTTTACAACACACACAGGGAACATGGGGAACAAAAGTAGCCCCCCTCCAGAAGGAAGGACAGTGTCCGCACCAATTCAGAGATGATTGGAGGATCTACAGCCGAGTGATACACAAATAGGGTACATTTCTGTTAATATTTAAGATACTTGAATGTATTTTTAAGATTTAACTCCGGAGTTTAGTGTCACTTTAACTCCTGACCTGTATAGCTCTTCAGGGTCACTGACTCAACAGCTAGTAAAACCATTGAACCAGTATGACAGCCAGGCCACTAGCATTTTCAGAAGAGGAGGATGGCAGTGAAAGCCTACATAGTCTCTCCCCTAAACCTCTGTACATGTCTTGTGTCCTCGGAAGGTTGGTGTGTTTAATCACCTGAACTATCTGGCACTGATGAAGCATTATAGAAATGATTCTGCAAAGCCTCCTCGGCTACTTTGTGCAATCAATGTCATAGACTTTTTTTCTTTTGTGCTTTAGGCTATTTAGAAAGTACACCTCTGTTTATTACGCCTAAAAGAAAAGCAATCTATCTTAGTGCTTAGGTGTGACTGGATATGTAATACCATAATTGTATGTTGTAGTGAAGATTTATTGACTAAGGGTCAGGGAACAGTTCAGAGAAATAGAAGGAGAAAAAGCCTGCTCGTTAGTTCCCTGTTTAAAACAGACTTGCAGGAAACTGCTGAATACACAGATAAAATCCATATATGAGAGCTCTTTTACCTGCCAAAAGAGTTGTATTTCTGTCCATCCAGTTCTTATATTTTTACACAGCTCTGCAAAGACAGCACAGTCCTTTCTGGGAAGGCAATAGACTTGATTTTTCTTTGCTGCGGTTCAGTTACACCTACGGGCCTTGTCCCTCCCCTAGCCTGTGACTGGACATTCAAAGGGTAAGAAGCAGACCCATGAGCTCATCATTATGTTCTCTCCTGGGATCAGTATGCCCCTTGTTCGCATATAATAAGATCCTTGGTTTTGTTAAAACTGATCTGAACTCATATGGATCATTACCGTAGACACAGATATTAATCTCATTGGGCTATTGTGCTCATGTTATCCAAACACTGTCAAGTGACCTAACATGGACAAAAACAGAGCAATATAATGATTTATCCATTGATCACTCTACTTCTATTTACGTTCCTCTTTCTGATGTGTTTTACTCTATAGTGAGCTTAACCTTAGAGATCTATTGTTGCTTGACATGCATTGGCAGCAGTGGTGTAGTGGTTAGCACTTCTGCCTTGCAGCAGTGGGTTTGAATCCCGGTCAGGTCACTATCTGCAAGGAGTTTGTATGTTCTCTCTATGCTTGGCTGGGTTTCCTCTGGGTACTCCAGTTTCCTCCCACACTCCATTGACCTGCTGGAAGGCTAAATGGCTCCTCTCTACATTTTCCCTGTATGTATTTATGAATGCATGTGAAATAGGGACCTTAGATTGTAAGCTATTTGAGGGCAGGGACTTATGTGAATGTGCAAATGTAAAAGTGCTGTGTAACTTGTCGGTGCTATATAAATAAATGTGAGTTTAACCCTGGTGAGACTCAACACTAGTCCTGGAACCTAGCCCATACATAACATTACTAGTAAGCAACTGCTGACATCAAATCTGTTAAGAAACCCTAATTATTATATGTACTTTTAAAAACCTCAAACACCTTTTTTTTCACTTTTAAAGGACTGAATCCTAAATGACTATGTAATGAAAGGCTCATAATAATCTTTCCCCATATATAATCCAGAATAAGAGTCTGGTCTGCAGTCAAAGATGCAAGAGGGGGGGTTAACTTAAGAGAACTATGGGGTAAGTGTTTTTCCCCATAGTTCTCTTTAGATTCACTGGAGGACATATACTAACCTCCTCACGTGACCCAAAGCTCAGTATATAGAGGGCTATTGCCCGCTAAATACTGAGAGCGGTGCAGCCGGAACTGTCTAGGTCCACGCAGCTGTGTGAGTGACAGCTGGCTCTGCCTATTTAGAGGCAGAGCCAGCTGTGCCTGCCCCCTCTCCCGTCCATTCCTCCAGTCAGCGCTGGAGGAATGGAACGGGGAGGGGGGGAATACCTGCGGGGAGCGGTGACTGGCAATCCCCACTCATGACTGCAAATCTCATGGGGGGGGGGGGGGGCAAGTGGTGCCCCCACTCAATACAATTCCAATAGAGGTTCTACACCTTTTCTCACTCTACCAGCCTCAGTCTACTTGATTGTATTGCTACTTGTGTCCCGGTTAGAGAGATTTCCCTACATCCTGTTCTGTTTACTATCCATTCATCATAGACATAAGGAATAAAAAACTCCTAAATGGGGACACATACAACAATAAAAAGTTGACAAAGCTTCTAACCCGTTCACATTCTTGCCATAACCAAAAGTCTAGGCTGGAGTTTGGTTTAAATGTACCCAGTCAAAAATGTACATTTGTAGGAATCCGAATACCCACATACAGTAGTTCAGCCTTATTACCTAGATCTAGGCATGTTCTGTTACTTTAGTTGTATTCTCTTCCTGCCAGAGCAGTAATGTAAGCCTAGTGTCAGGCTGAAGGCTCCTACAGAGGCTGACCTGTCGCCTGAGGTCAGGGTTGATAGCTGATACTTTGTCAGGGCTGCTGGATTTTGATAAAACTGTCAACTTTCAAAGCCTTTAGCTTTTTTTTAATTATGTAATCCTGATGGTGCCTCTGTTATATGACTGCTTTGAGTGTCTGGGATCAGCTTTAAGCTCAGTCCGAAAATGAGACAACCTTACAGTCTGATACTTCTTCTCTGATATGAAAAATAGATTATCAAAAATAACAATTCAAGAGAAAAGATTTAGGTCATATCAAATGCCCATTGGTGTCTTACTCTCTATAACCAAAGCAATGGAAACATATAAAACATAGTAACAAATCACTTCAATTATGTAACTGCTGTGGGGAGCCGCGTCTGCCTGATCCAGCCAGCCCGGATCGCCGCTATGCGATCCGGGCTGGCTGGCTGGATCAGGCAGACGCGCCCTCCAATCAGGCAGTGTAGAGGGCCGCTCGCAGTGGCCTCGGAAGAGCGAGCGGCCGCCCGATGATAGCCGGGTGATCGTGTCACAGAGAGGGAGCCATGGCTTCGTTTAGCGGGGGTCGTGACGGCGCCCCCCCTCAGTCCTGCGCCCGGGGCAAGTGCCCCCCCGGTTGTTACGCCACTGCTGCTGTAAACTAGAATATGGCTGTAATGGATCCTTTCATATTACAAATAAACTCTTTCTTCATGACTTTTCTGTTGGCATTAAATTGCTAAATAAACCACAATTATTTATTATTATACAAGATTTATATAGCGCAAACAGTTTGCGCAGCGCTTTACAATTGTAAGAGATGGTCCTTCACCTGGACTATTTGTTGAGTAAGGTGCATGTTTTTTTTTATATGTGACCGAATCTCCTTCAGATTTCATATTTCCATCTCTTAATGGCAGGTCGACGGATATGTGCTGGAGAAACCCTTGCAAAAATGGAGCTGTTTCTTTTTTTCACAACTCTTCTGCAAAAACTTACATTCCAGAAGCCTCCGGAGGTTCATGATGTGGATCTAACACCAGCTGTTGGACTGACCACTCCACCAATGCCTCATAAGATTTGTGCTATTGAACGATTTTAACGTACCAGAACAGACTGAAAATGTGATCCATGGGCTATGTTATTTCACTTTATGGGCGAGTCAATTGGTCACTACAAGCGGTCTATCACCAGACATTTGCTGAAGTCTCTTATCAAACTATATTGGAAACCGCAAGGAATTCCTCCTTTTTGAAGGTTTGGTTCCAAAGGTTGGATCAGATATGTGCCTTCGAAGAACTGACTCATAGTCCTCAAAATACCCGACAACACTTTAGTAGAACCTGGACTTGGTTCACATATTAAACGACTGTACTGTACTTGGATCATATGGTCTCTACCTAAGATAATATCTTTGTAAGAGGGTTTTTTTTTTGCCTGGCAGTTTGTTGTTCTTGTAACTTTGTTGTTAGGGTCGGGGATTCGCTGATTGTGCAGATTTCTTATATTTTTTTCTTTTCTTCTGTTTTCCTTTTTCTTCTACTTTCTTTTCTTTTTTTTGATTCCTTGATGGAATTGTTTTTATTCATGGACCGTATTTCAATTTTTTAATATAACATTTTGCAATGAATAAAGACTGACGCAACCGGATGTTTTTCGTGACTAACTATAATGTTGCTATGTTACATTACTGATATTTGGAACCATGGACGTGTTTTGAATTGATCGTTTGTTAATTCTTTGAAAATCCTAATAAAATTTGAATAAAGAAAAAAAAAACAGACTGAAAAGAAATGCTTGTTATGCACTGTTTTGTTTTTTTGTGTATTCAATATTTTTGGTAAGCTCAAAAGATTTCTGTACGTACATATAAAACTGACTGGAAAAGAAGAACAAGATTAAGAAAACAATATCTTAGCACACATCGACTGGTATAAAGGCAATATTTGTCATGTTGAGTTTGGTCAACCATAGTGCTGCCAGTTGAATGGGAGAAGCAGTTCAAAAGATAGTGGTTAAGGATTGCGGCAAGTCCATCAATCAATCAATCAAGCCCAGATTTGGCTTGTTAGTCTTGTTACATTCTTCAAAATTTTAAGTAAATGAATGCTCCGACAGGGAATGTGGAACCCCCTCATTATGGCCACATCAGGTGTTCATACCCGGGAACTCGGAGATCTCACTAACAGAATCCCAGAGGTAATAAGGAAACTGTCATGCGATTTAAATCTCCAACATTTACTGAAAACTGATGACAAATTAAATGGGTTAACTAATCCTTTCACATATAACAATTGTCCTTTTCCTTAAAGTGACCCTAAACTCCGGAGTTAAATCCTAAAAATGCATTCAAGCATCTTAACTATTAACAGAAATGTATCTTATTTGTGTATCACCCAGCTGTAGATCCTCCAATCATCTCAGAATTGGTGCTGACACTGCCCTTCCTTCTGGAGGGGGACTACTTTTGTTCCCCATGTTCCCTGTGTGTGTTGTAATGTAGTCACCGCTCCAAGCTCACTCTTGTGATGGACTACAATCTCATGTTTAGTTTACTACTTTGTATTGAGATTGTAGTCCATCACAGGAGTGAGCTTGGAGTGGTGACTACTTTACAACACACACATATTAGAATACCAACCTAGAGTTCTAGATGACAGCTTGCACAAAACCGGCTGTATATAACTGCAATTCACTGCTGTCAGGGACGTTTATTTCCTTTGGACATACCTCTCAAAATAGGGCCTGTCCTCAGGAAACGGGGACTAATGGTAACCTTACAGCAGACCACATCTTAGCAATGCCAAATCATTATATGATGAGTAGATACCCCCTTTTTTGCTATGAATTAAAAAATAAGCCTGTTCCCAGTGTAGACAGCCACTGGCATTCAGTTAATAGAGACTGAGATGTCTATAGTTCTCAGTCAGACAGACTCTGTCTGGTAGAATTGCACTGAGATAAAAGCCTCAGCGCCAAGGCACAACATATGTAATAACTAATTCCGGGTGCCCATATGTCAGTAAATCATCATAGAATATATACAGAAACATTGTGCAATGCAGTAACACACACTGATACATTGATACTTTGCATTATGCAGATTCCTTAACATGTATAACTATAAAATGTATATAAAAGTCTACAGTTCTCCTTTAATTTGTCTCTTACTACCAGCTCTGTACACATAATTAGAAGGGGAGTGGTTAAGGGATGTTTACTGCTAATAAATAAAGCACCTAGATCATTTTCTGGCTTGCTCACCTCCACGGATTTCTGATCTATGTGGCTTCTGATATAAATGGAGTTATAATACAGCAGGAGTTGAAACAGCAAGTTCCGACATATTATGGTGAGTAACTTAAAGCTGTTTGGAAAAATATGCTATTTAAAGTTGCCATGAGTTTAATAATGTAGACTGCAAGATTTTGTTTAAAGCACGGTGCCCATGTTTGTATGCAAAACAGAGGCAGAAGTTCCAGGTTGGCAGGTTCAAGCTTGTTGGCTTTAGGGTTGCTTGCATTAGATGAGAAAAGGCAAAATGCACCCCCAAGGAACAATCTCGACATAGGTCTTCTGTTTATTGAGCAAACTAATCGGTTGATTAAGTGGATTAAGTGGATGAAGTCCAGTTAGCAGTAAGACAACTGGGTAAGGAAAGAAGTAAACCTTTAAAACAAAAAATTGTCAGCACGTAGGGTCTTTAGGTAGTGCAAACTTTAGAACTCTTACTGATCGCAAATGTTCTTGTATCTGTGCGCTATGTGGAGCACATTTGCAGTACGTTGCACAGTCTCAGCCCATTCCTGATATTAGTGAGCTGGGCAGGAGTTAGTGTGACGGACTGAACCGCCACTGGTGCTGTTGGAGGAGGCTGGTGGCTAGCCTCCTTCCTACTGACTATGGACCCAGAACTATGGAGACCCCCCTCGGACCTCTTGGGGTTACAATTAACCCTTCTACCAGGTTTATGTGTGGAGGGATGTACTGCACATTTTCCCCGGCATTACATTTGGATGACCCTGTGTTTATTATAGGTACAGGCTGTGAATCCAGCAGCACTGAAGGGGGTTAATTCTGGACATTGAACTGTTACAGTTTATTGGTCCCTTTGTTATATTGTGTTGATGATGGGATTAGGATAGCTGATTCTAGGAATAGCTGACTCCGGGTGTAGATGAGTAGATTACCCTATGATACACTCAGGTGATAATCCTATCACATGTGTCTCCTCTCTCCCTCTTCATTCATTAAGGCATCGGGGAGGTGATGTCTGTTTGCATGCTGTTCATGTTTGATTGCGTTATGTGTTTAGACTTCTTCAACTGTATATATATATGAACTATATATATACTGAGCTGGTCTTCATTAAAGCAGTTCTTGGTTTCCACCTCAACATTGGTGTTGTCTGATGATTGAGGAGGTTAGTGTTCTGTCCTAAGATATATATTCTGTCCAATAATTAGGCAGGTTTGGGCTGAGGACACTGGAATTCGGGTTCCAGCAGAGAGGAAGCTGATTTATGATGGAGGTACCCAGTCAGGGTACCAGGAGGTCCGTCACAGTTATCTCATCAGTCCCTGCCTAATGGGCGAAGCAAGAGGATGTTGGAACCTGCTAAAGTGCATTAGGAAATAGCGATGGAGTGGAGGTGGGGTGCCTGGAAAATTGCAAGTATTCTGTGCTCAACCTGACCTCATAAGCATGAATGGGCTGTATATCAAGACTCTGTATATGGTTGCATTCAAGCCTATGAGGACATAACACCCTGGCATGGTCAGCACATAAGGACATTTCCCAATTGAGGATTTAAACACAAGGGTGGGCAGCTGCTCTGCAACTAAGGTAACTAGCATGGGTGTGAGAGTGAGTGCAGTCTGGATTAGGAAGTTTAAATTTGCACAAAATTAATAACCAACTAATGAGCAAAAAAAGAGCCACCAAGGTCCACTTTGAGAAAGAGTTTGATGACGCTCATTCTTCATGGGCCTCATTCTTTTTTTGGTCATCTGCCTGACTAAGCTGCTTTTGTAATTTTATTCCAGCATGCTTTATTTGTTGTATCACTAAGCACCCGTATAATATGCTTTTGTATGTATCAGCTGATCTTTGTGCTCAGCTGACTTAAGGTGACACTAAACTCAGGAGTTAAATATTAAAAATACATTCAAATACCTTAACTATTAACAAAAATGTATCTTATTTGTGTATCACTCTGTAGGGCTGTAGATCCTCCAATCATCTCTAAATTTGTGCTGACTTTGTCCTTCCTTCTGGAGGGGGGTTACTTGTGTTCCCCATGGTCCCTGTGTGTGTTGTAAAGTAGTCACCGCTCCAAGCTTGCTCCCGGGATGGACAACAATCTCAAAACAAATTAGTCAACTAAACAAGTGTAGCACTCACCCCCCGAAGGAGCCGCTGGAATAATCGGGTCATCACTAGTCGTTCTAGGGTTTTTTTTATCTTCAGCTGTCCCATTAGCATTGAACCACCCTCTTCTAGTGCCCACAAAGCTGATGTCCACTCCAGCAATGCAATGCTGAATAACATTTTATTATTTTATTTTCTTCACACTGCGGAGAGAGGTTATAGGGATCCTAGACATCCAGGGTATAACAGACATAATAGGCTCCAAGTTCTATCCTGTGATGGGCTACAATCTCAATACAAGTTAGTAAACTAAACATGAGATTGTAGTCCATCCCGGGAGCAAGCTTGGAACGGTGACTACTTTACAACACACACAGGGACCATGGGGAACAAAAGCCTCCCTCGAGAAGGAAGGACAGTGTCAGCACCAATTCAGAGATGATTGGAGGATCTACAGCCGAGTGATACACAAATAAGATTCATTGCTGTTCATTGTTAAGGTACTTGAAGGCATTTTTAAGGTTTAACTCCTGAGTTTAGTATCTTTTTAGGAGAATGGAGAGGTGGGTTACCAAAGGTTTGGGAAAAGGTACAGCTGTCCTTTACCTGATACATTTTCCTCTCTGATAAATCAAGTAGATTAGTTATCTCTAAAACTGTTTTTGCTAAGGTTTTTCTTTTGTTCTAAAGAACCCGAGCATACGATTTCCCAATGTTTTTTTATTAACTGGCACAGAAATGATTGTAAACTGGGTAAAGGTGAAAGTGTACTGTTATGAAAGACATTAAGTTAATAGTCATCACGTTTCATCTCCTTACTGCCAGGTCCTGACTTCTCCGATAGACAGTCACAGCGATGGATTTAGAATTCTCTGCAGCTACGTATATTGTGCTGGCTTTATCCATATTATACATCCTTAATATTCTGTATAAGTGCAACAATGGCAACGTCAAAAATTTTCCTCCTGGACCATGGGCTTGGCCACTCATTGGAAATTTGCATATTATAGATTTGAAGAAAGCACACATAAGTTATCGAGAGGTAAGACTTGTATACCCAAAATGATATGATTTTTGGCATATATTGTTTTACTTTACTTGGCAAAAGTGTTTGATTAACATTAAAGCTTCACAAAAAAATGGAAGACAAATAAAATATTTACATTTAAAATTTATTCTTTAGAATTTTTTGGGCAGCGATCAGTATTGCTTTTATAATTTAATTAATACAAAAAATGAAAAATGGTTTAATTCAGAGCACTGTTTCCTTTAAAAATCCTTACTATAAATTATTTAAAATCAAAAATATCAAAGCATTGAACTACTCTGCAATCCTTTATCTGGAATTCTGTAACCTAGAATTAAAAAAACAGTCATATTGTAAACTATAAAAATACAATAACACAGTTGCTGAACTAAATGATACAAAAGATCATCAAGTATTTTGGCTAGCAGCAAGTTTTTGGGACACTAGTAAACCAACTAATGAGAAGCAGAATTTAGCACCAACTCAAAGAAATAGTTAAAATGGCAAAAAAAAATATTAAAGTGTTATGGAAAATTTGCATATTATATTGTAAAAACCTAAAGTGATACTAAACTCAGGAGTTAAATGTTAAAAATTAATTCAAGTATCTTAGACTTTTTTTTTACAAGCCTAGTGGTGATGACATGGAGTAATGAAAGCCATTTCTAACTATAGGAAGAAGAAATTAAAATAAAATAATACTGGAAGATGCTCTAGATGGGGAGAAGGAGGCTTTAGTTTACTAATTTGTATTAAGATTGTAGTCTATCATGGGAGCGAGCTTGGCTCTTCAGGCCCAGGCCGAAAGATGGCTGACTCCGCCAGGCAAGGTTATGTGTAACAACTGCACTAATCTACTGACTGCTCTTTTCCAGGGAAGATTCACACATATTCCTTCCCTTGCACATGTTCTCAATTCTGTGGTGCAGTGGTTCATCACAAAATACCCGCACTTGGCTTCTAGGATGTATTTAATCCGACCAGGAGGGTTTGTGAGACCTTTAGGCCTTGTTCACACCAAGCGCGGAGCAGGTGCAGAGGAGAGCAGTTGCAGACCGGATCAAAACTGCGTCCAATGTATTCCAATGGTATTTTTTACTCCAGTTCACATCGCAGTGTGCAGGTCCAGAGCAGGTGAAAAAACTGCAGCAAGCCCTATTTTACCTGCTCTGGAACGCATGCAAACACATCAAAAATGCATGCAAATGCCTGGAATGCACTGAAAGCTCATGTTAAACTTTTTTTACAAAAAGTTTTTTTAACCAAAAGCGTTGTGCAGAAACCTGAGCAGATCTGCTCTGCATTTGGTGTGAACAAGGCCCACTTTTCACGGCCATGCAGTGCCAACAGCAGCTGTGGGCTAGACGACACATCTGTGACACCCCCACTTGCTGGAACTCAACATTGGTCATGCTAGAGTCTTCACCAGCAGCAACATGCCATCAATGAGTATCTCTGAGACCAAACTAGTGATCTATGAGAATGCAGGGATTAGCAACATAATACCTCTTTGTTCCGCCTGAAGGCACAGCAACAGAAGGAAGAGGAGGACTTTCTGCTGTACCGAGGCCAACAGGAACCTTTTCTTACTGCCTTCATCGCTGTAAAGTAAAGGCAGCAGAATGAGGAATATTAGGAGGATGAGGAGGGTTGTACTGTTGATGGTGAGGAGAGGTACAAATGGGGCAATCTTTAAGGGGAATGTTTTACCCCTCACAAAACCCAAGTATTTTACATGGGGGGCGGGGGGGGTGAGATTATTCCTCTACTATCCTCTACTGCTGGCTTTTTGCGCCATTCTTTATGGTCATCAAAAAAGGGACCACTATTGGGTGGCCACTCTATTCGATCTACAATACAAGGGCAAAATGTCCCCTCAGATGAACAACTTGCCCATGATCCTATGATCCCAGAAAAGGTAAGCCTCAGCAACATATTTCAGAGGTTTTTTTTTTTAAACCATAGCAGCTAGGCCCAGCTGCAGGCCACGATCACAGATAGCCACATGATTGCTGACTGTGTTTGGTCCAGAACTAATGCAGACACCCTCAGAGATTAGAATCAATGGACTATTGGGGGTCCAGGCTAGACCACTGGTCAAAACCTGTACAGTATGGAGCAGAGCTTCTGGTTTGCTCAGCAGCCAGTGTCCTGTATGAGAGGGCCTTAATTGCAGTAGGAGCTTTTTTTTATGGAGAGGCAAGTCTGCCTTTCCCCTGACAATGTGGACCAGCTCACTTTTCTGTAATGAGCCAGTCATGGATTGCCAGTGACTATAAAATCCCTGCTACCGTTACCAGCTTCTGCCACCTCTCTTGGCCTATATTGTGATTTTGAAGGGTTTTTTTTTGTGCATTTTGTTTTTACATTTGTTTAAACCTTTAAGGCAATGCAGTTTGGTGCTATGAAAAAAGAAGTCCATAAACTTTAATATTAAACTGCTGTGCCACTAATCACTTTGGCCACTTGATTAAAAAGCCGGTGTCACAACTAAAGCGTTTTTGTAAGCTGAAATGAATTGCTGCTTTATTTAAGCCAAACCAAATGTAAATGTTAAAAAAATAATTTGATGTCACCCTTGAAGCTGTATTAGAAGTACCCTTTTCTTGCTGTATGGTAATTTCTTTTGGCAAACCTCGCAGCAAAGCTCAGGTTTGCCAAATTTCAAACCAGATTCATCGAACCCTTTGAAAAATGAAGCAGGACATGTTCCCTCATTACAAGTAATGAAAATGGAATGAATGAATGAATGAATGAATGATTTTATTATTTAATGTAACTTTATCAATATTTCTATCCACATTAACATGCAGGTAGCACATATGGTTAGATCAGAATCAGACCTTCTTTTTACAAAAGTATCAATGATAAAGTAATATACCTTATTTCACCAAAAGGAACTGCGCAGGGGACCCTCACACACCCAGTGATTACAATCTTTTAAAGCTGAACTACAGCCACATGGAAACAATTTTTTTCCCAACACACTCCTCATAAAAATGTTTAGCTTGTTTCACACTTAAAAACAAAGTTTCTAACACCCACTTATAATGCTTAGGGCTTGTTAACATGATATCAGGTCCTGATCAGGTGGGGATCTGCAGACACGGTGCTACTGATACAGTGCGTTTTTGACGCGTTTTCGGTCCGAATGCTGACAGTTCATTTTTTTTCAAGCCGTGGGGCTGTCAGTATGCAGATTCTTCCTCTGAGGTCACTTCCGCCCTCCCGGAACATCTACTTCCCTTTGTGTATGTAAAGCTGGTGATCAGACATGTATCCCATGTTTGCAGGCATGTTGATGGCGCTGGCTACAGCAATCTGCAGAGAATGAGCCCGCAGGAGACTTCGTTATTGGGTACACCCGATCTTGAGGCTCCGGGACTCCAAGGGTCAGTTCTGGAGTTTATGAGGATTTGCGAGCTCACCCGGATACATTTTTTTCCTTTACTCGTATGTCGTATGAAAAAGTGGAGCAAGAATAATATTTTTTTTTTTTTGCTTAGCTGCATTGCGTTCCGTTTTCGTTGCGTTTCGTTGCGTTCGTGCGTTTCCGGACCGGACAAAATGTGACATGCAGTATTTTTTCTGTCGTAAGCTGAACGGACTGCGCACGTGAGAACTGTAGCCCATAAAACACATAGGGATACATTGGGATGCATTTTAAGTGCAGGAGCATAAGGATCAGGTCAGCACAGAAAACTGACGTCCTGTAAACAGGCACTAAATCTTGAGGTCTCTAATCCTCAACATTACACTGTGGGCGGGTACTACAAGCAGCACACATGTCCCATTTTGATGACGTGGCTGCTGACAGTGCAGATGTTCTATTGTTGATGAGTGGTGGTAGCAAAAATGTTTAAAGACCAGAAGTCAAAGAAGTAGACTGGTCCTCATAAGGGAACCTATCGGG